TGAATGATTTATGAGTGGGTTTGCCGAAACACAACAAGGTCAATTTCGTTTGAACTAGTCCCAACTCCTGGGCGCAGATTCCGACTTTGGTCGCGGACGGACTCCCGACTTTAAATGAACGAGGGAGCAGTCAGTTTAGGAGCAGCTTTATTCCGCGGATGTCCTGGCAAGCTCCTTGTGTACTGTCTGAGAAAGAACAAAGCGGTGACTAACATGGCGGGAGGGGTCATGGTCGCGAGGAACGAAGATGGCGGACAGCAAGTACGAGACGTCGGTACGGGACGAAGCGGTCGTGGAAGTGACGAGTCGTCCTTCTGTGCGGGCGGAAATGTGACTCAGGAGATGGCGGCGCGGGGACCAGATGCGTAAATAAATCCCGTTGGGTTTGACGGTATCGGCTGGAGAATTATTTACACATTGGGAGGGGAACCGATGATTATCGATACTTGAACGGGCGGATTATTTGAAATAAGCATAAATATATTTGTAGCGTGCCTACGATTGGAAAAGGGCTATAGTGGTTCCAATATTTTTAAAACCGGAGATAATATATATAAGCATTATCCAATTACAAGACGCAGTAAGCCTAACGTCAGTGATTTCAGCAAACAAATGGATGCATCTGGCTAGGTGAGTTCTTGGCGTCGGGGAATGGACAAACTACGGTGGTTAATAGCCGAAGGGCGACAATGGATTTCGAAAATCTTCTCGTGTGAAAGCCAAATTTATTAAACGTGTCAGATATTGGCTGGGGAAACTTTAGATTCGGGTAAGTAGAAACAGACGCAATTGTATATATGATTTTTCAAAGCATTTCGGATCTTGTTTCACAGCGATTATAACTACTTACGAAAATAGCATTCTACGGGAGTTGATAATCGCGGTAATAGCATGGAATACGGGAATTCCTGATAAATCGGGTTCCATCAAGTTCGAGTTGGACATGAACATTCAGAGGAAACCCTAATTACGAGTCGGGTGTCCCCCAGGGAAGTGTCTTTAGGACGCGCTCGTTGTGATTCTGGCATTCATCCGCAGACGATCTGCCAATGCTGTATAAGTCAGTAAAGGCGCTTAATTTGCGGACGACTGCAATAATTTATGCGGCGAATAGATTCGGATGAGAGATTTCTCTACACTTCAAACGCGATTCTTAATAACATTCATTCCTGGCTACCATTAATAAAAGTGAAGAATACAATGCTGTAAAAGTAAATTCACTTAGCTTTTCGGAAATCAGCAAAGAAGGTTTCTGTTAGAATATACAAAATGGGAGGGCGTATTCCTTCCACAAGTATCGTGTTTGTAGTTCTTGGTTGTCCTATTACGCCAAGACTTGGGAGGGGGGAAACACGTTCTTTTTCTATTTGCCCGAAAAGGTGGAAGTCACTCTACACTTTGTAATGAGAACACTTAAAGTGGAACAAGGAGAGTCGAAAAATAGGATACACATCTTTAGTTAGGGCCGATTCTTTTGAAATACGCAATGCAGTGGATTGGGAATGCCATGCAGAATTAGCGGTCAGATTGAAGAGTTAGAAAAATTCAAAAGAAAGCAATCAAATTCATTGAAATAAGGATCTTCGGAGTAGTTCAAATCCACCAAAGACGCTTGTAGAGGCCCTCAGTGTGCGGAAGAAAAAAAGCCAGATTGTGCTGCCTTCTTCAAGGCGTACAGTAAGTCACCTGCATGGGGCAGTAAATAACGAAAAGACTCAGAACTCTCGCCTTCAAGAGTTGGGAAGAAACGATCAACAAATGCAAATAAAAAAGTTAGATGTCTAAGGAGATCCGACGTAGGGAAATATTCATTTGTAATCGTACGGTTTAAAAATTGAATTGAAATCCCTGGCAGCGGCGTAGAGCCTTTTCCTGGTTCTGTTGGGTGTTTTTTTAGAAGAGCGACTTAATAAGTACTTGTAGGCTGTATTTTACCGCACAGCTCAGAATACACAATTTGTAGATTAATTATAGATAAAGTGTAGTGTAGTTCAGTGCAGTGGAAAGTACTTTAATTTAGTTATATGGCTATAACCAGAAGAAAAGAATGTAGTGAAAGTGTCAGTGGAGTGTAAAGTGTTATTGTAGTGAAGTGAAGTGAAGTGAAGTTAAGTGAAGTCGAAGTAGTGGGGAGCAAATCTAAATGCTCTTAAAGAGCTAACTTTAAAATCCACATTGTGTTTAATATTTAGAGTGCTGTTAATATTCTGTGTGATGTGATCTTTAGTTGGGATAGATAGCGTAATGGTCATGTATTGCTGCTAGTGGTGGTCGCTGATAGATCATTGTACGTTTGGATTTGTCTCTCGGACCACTCTCTCAGAGTAGGATCCAGATGTGCATGTAGGGGTTGTGGGTCGTGTAAGGGCACTCATTAGGTAGGCATAGTGATGTGTGCGTGGTGGTGGTTGTGACGTGTTATGTGTGAACGTGAGAGTGAGCCTTTCAATGTATAGGAAAGTGTGTGTATGTATGTAATGCATGTGGTATGTTATAGTATGGATGTGTGTTAATGGGTGTATATATGTGCCTAGATGTATAAAGGTCTGTGGTATGTTTATATTTGGTGGTATATGCTCGAAGAGAAGTGTTTGATAAATTGTTTTTATATGGTAAATTGTTTTTTGTATTTATAAATGTTCATAATATTTTAAAACTGTCAGGGTTGTGGCTACAACTGGCAAATGCAGCCAATTGTAGCCAAATAAATATTAATTATTATTATTATTATTATTATTATTATTATTATTAATTAGTTTAGCAGTTATACACAATTTTTTTATTTTCATTTTTTCACGACACTGAAAATGAAATGTTTAGCCCAAATTAAACGACAGTAGGTAAAGAGATTCTTTATAGAGCTTGCTTACTGTCGCGAGTTTAATACAGAACGGAAAATAGACAGTACATTTATTGTTTTAGACATGCAACAGGTTTTGTACTGGTTAATCGGTGGTGAATCAGGAGAGTATGATGCATAATCCCGAAAGTGCAGTACAAATAAATTACGAAGTGAATGGCGTAGCGACGGGAATGAATATCCCGTTCAGTTCCTGTGATGTATAACTCAAATGAGTGTGTAGGAAAACATGCGTCTGTGAAATATAATATAAAAGTACCCGACATTTTAAAGAATCGACCACAATCTACTATCACAAATATCAGATTCACAATAAATTTGAAGGATCGTCCTTTTGACATTTGAAGAAGTGAATACAACTATACAACTAGTAAAGTATATTTTGCGTCATGGGAGAGCATTTTGCAAACTTTTTTATGTAATTTCATAGTAGTATTTTGAAATTAAAAGAAAAATGGTACACATTGTTTCTCTAAGAATACTACTAGAAAAAATGTATTGTACAGGAAATCAATGCTCTCATTAGATTTTGTGTCTTCATAAAGAATATTGAAGTTCATAAGAACATTACTGAACTCATCGAACTGTGAATGAGTCAAATAACACTTTTAAATATATACAATTTTTTAATTAAATTTCTTCCACGCATGTGCAATCTTGTTGAAACATATCTTCCACCATTTATCGAGCTAATAAATATAAGAATATACTTGTTTAACATCAAATTATATTAGAATTAATAGGAGTGAAAACGTTTTTTTGACTGGTGAATTCAATTAACTAAAACTGTAAACGAAGAAAATTCCCCGCTGATTGTAGGTGCGAATTCTAAGATAATCTAATATGTAACCTTCATAAGAGTTATATAAGTTCATGTAAAAGGCAGTGATAAAATGCAGTAGCGGGATGCTTTCTTGTTCATACACAACGTGAAGCATTCTTGTACAAGTTAAATACATTTTGCAGGATGTACTAATATTTATGTGTCTTACACATTGTCTTGGGCTCCAGTCTTCAAAGAATTCTGCAAATTCTGACCTTATCAACAAGAGAAGAGACTTGTAGAGATGACAGCGACACTGTCTACCCCATATAATTCACCTGAGATATTACATTACATCATTCCAACTTTTGTAATCTTCATTTTTAAACACTTATTACAAGTTATATAAATTTGAGGCAGGATGTAATAGTTTTAATGGAACTCATACTTTGCCTTGAGCACTATTAGTTCGAGAAATTCTGCCATTTGCAAGTGTTATCGCCAAACACAGAGATGACAGCTACACAATCTATTCCCCTCACTTATTGACCTGAGATATTACAGTACATCATTACAACATCTGAGGAGTTCACAAGCAGAACAGTCCACTTGGCATGACTTTAATAAATTGAGTTTCAAAGTTTTCAACAGATAATAAATTCCAGTGGAGTAGTAAAATAAAAACAAACGCTGTGCGCCAGTATGTGTTTTCAAAGTACTTAGTTCATTGGGTCAGGAATAGAACATGGTTTTCATTTACTGTATAATTACATTATTACAATTTAGTTCAGCGGTGATTTTTCGTTGGCATTTAAAATGAATTAATTATAGGCGTTGTCATTGCCAACAATACTAGTCATTAATAAAGCAACTTTCGATGGCTTGGCCATCACCATCAGTTTCCTGCTGTTTGGAAGCCACAACACGAACACCTTGTTGACTTCCTGTATGACTACCTTGTTATTTTGTGGCTTCCAAGCTGCAGGAAACTGAAGATTGCTGCTAAAATAACCAAAGTCGCTTTCTAATAAATAATATTGTTGACGCTGAAGATGAGCGAACTCACACGCTGGAAACATTGAATAATGGAAACTTTAAACTCAGCACACGTATATTAATGTTAATCTTTATGAACATTGACCATCATAAAATAAATTAATGAACAAAAGATACAATATTTTTATCCAGAGGGTCACAAAGAATATATTAAATATTGTCGGAAATGCCAACTCGTATAATTATTTCATTTTATTACAATTTTCCAATAAAGAGGACTTAATCTGAAATGGTTGCCAGCCTTTCAATTCTAACCTACGAAGCCACCCGAGCATCAACGCTCATTGACGGGGGAGCCGGTGCCCGGGCGCGAGCGCTTACCTTCGAGCAGCAGGAAGAAGCCGCTGGGGCCGCGGCGCAGGAGCCGCGTCGCTGCCTCAGCCATCTCTACCAGCGTAGGCGCGGCGCGTGGGCCCGGCGCGCGGTCCGCCGCGAACTCCAGGTGCGAGTGTGCGAACAGCCCTGCGCGCGCACACGCAAACGCTCGTCCAATCAGATGTTACACTCACAGGTCGGGGTGGTTTTTAGCCAGACGATGAATCCCTATATGTTATATCGTATAATCAAGTATCTTAAAATATGTAAAAAATGGACATAGATTCCTGCACCTGCAAGTGATGTAATGCTGCACGAAGGGTTTTAATTCATTGAATACTTTGTGTTCCCGGGCAGCTCAACAGCTACGTTCGCCGACTCCGTGAGTTATGTAAGTATGTTATACTTCGAGAGGTGGTGGTACTCCTCTCCCGCCCACTCGTTGGCTTGCTGGATCTCCCTTTCCGCCAGCGGGAAATCGCTCTTTCGGGACAAACTCTAAGCTTCCATCTTGTGTGAGAGTGAAGGGTACAAAGTAGTGTGTCACTAAGGACGAATGAAGGGACAACGATCCAGAAGGAAAGATCATGCGCCTTGTGCTGGTCCTCTGCCTGTTTGTTACACAACTGTCCCGTAAAGGGTGAGCATTTCCTTTCTGATCTCAACTCATATTTACTGGCACGTACGAGTTGCTTTTATGTGTACATGCACGTATAGACGCATCTGGACAGCGAACAAAGTGCCTGTTTCCCCGTCGGCAATAGAGTTACTCCGGTGCGATCAGATCGTACGCTGTTTGGGCCTCCGGACCATAGCTGGAGTTTCCTAGGAGCGGCTGTATGTTTCCCCATTCCACTATTAACCACTCCACTATAACCGATTGTTATCCACAAGCAAAACTTGTAAGCTACAGCTAAAACATACTGGGCATAAGAGACCGAAGGTCGAATGAGGTAGATTCCAAGAATGGATCAATCTGAACCGGAAGCATGGAAGAGCCGGTACTAGCCAGTGGTGATAGTTTTAAAAACGACCACTTTATCTGTGGTTCCTTCTGGAAACACGCAGTAGTAGAGGAGGTTTCAGAAGTAAAATAGAGAGTAAGTTAAGTATGCCTTTAAAATAATTTATAACTCTTAGGATGTATTTCTGTCGGAGTTGTAGATCAAACCAAGAAAAAAATGTGCTTGTCGTGCTCTTCACATCAATCCCCTACCATATCTCACTATGCCTCCCACGCTCATCGCGTGAGCCCTGAAGTAAGTGGGGTGGGGACGACATGGCCTTGATCGCGAGAAAGGGTTTCTGGCGGTAGTTGTGCCGCGTTTTATTGACACACAAAAACTGTCTCTTCCACCTTACGGCACGACTACAACGCCATGCCCTCACAATACGCAGAGATTGCGTTCCACAACAATTGCCTCGGTTGTATTATTGTATATACAGTATTGACATTTATTGTGTCATTAATATTTTAATTCGACGTGTTTCTGACTTATTACTTCTTACTTTTGGCTTTTTTCACAAATTCTATGATATTTTGGGAATTAAACTGTTAAAATTATTGAATGAATTTGGCGCTGAGGATTGTCACAGTACGATGAACCAAACGTTATCAAGTGTGCCTACGACGCGGCATGTCCAGGATAATCAAGAACTTCGAGATACTACTCGGTTCGTAACCCACTTGGTGCGCGAGCGTAGGCAGATCGTGCGCTCGATCTCCGCCTGTGTGATCCTAGGGGCGACCTCTCCGCCACGTCCGCGGCGCTTCGGCTCCCCTCAACCCGACCATTGGCCGCTGGTAGCGCTCCCCACGACAAACAGACGCACTAGGTCATTGCATGGCTAACATGGCGCCCATCCACGGCATTGCGCGGCGCTTTATTCGCCCACGGGACACTGCCCCCTCCGCGTGTTTGCGCCGAGCGGCGGGGCTTCATGCACTGATCTTGCACCATCCGAGCGGGGAAGGGCGAAGGTATCGTTGAACGGGAGGCTTCTATATTTAACGAACGCTGTAAAACAGGTTTACAGGATCATTAAATCGAGGTACATTTGTACATGAGTCCATATATTGTCGCGCAGTAGTAAAAAAATTCCTGGTATTGTCTTCTATTGTGAGATATTGCTTGCAAAACAGAATATTTGGTTAAGATTTGTTTAGGATTAATTCCATAATCGGATAATCTTTAATTATCTTTCATTAAGCAATGAATGATGAATGAGGGAAATCAATCCTGTTTCTACCAAGGGATTTTTTGGGATCTGTACACGAATTAGATTTTTCCTCAACAAAATTAATAGTTGGATATCATAAGTGGATCATAAAATTGAAAACACATGTGTGAACATTATTTTTTAATACTCGAATAGTTTGAAGTTTAGTAACTTTCCTTGTCCCATTACAGAACATTATATGTTTAAAACATAAATATCTCCTCTTCCCGTAATAGTAAATGTTAAAATAATCAACAAAAACTTCTCCAGAGTCTTACTTTTGTATACATCAAGCTTTGAACAATCAGACATTAAAGTAAAATTGAGTTATTAAAGGTGTATTATATTGTTTAAAATTTACATTTACACAAATGACCATTATAATTTAATTTAGAATGGATGAGACAATGTAATGTCTCCTGTGTGAGTCTTGGCATTACATAAATAAGTAGAGTTCAGTGTTACATACATACATACACATACACGTAAATACCTCTATTTCTTACTACCTTTATAATTCCAAAGGGACTCTATACACTCATAAAAAATTGGAAATAATTAAATACCCTAGAGAATAAAGTAAAAAACTTTCTTCTTCTTCAGAAGCGCTAATGTAGGACCATCAAATTGCATGTGAATGGTGCTCTAAAACAGAAAAAAATCGTTATTTACAAAATATTTATTATTGTATTTAAGAGATTTTTACTTTCAAAGCATTTTGAACACTTTGAAAGTTTCATATTGCATTTTAATATCGAGAAATGGAATGTAGCTACAAGTTAAAAAATTAAAGAGATGGTTAGGGACACACGAAATTTGTATGGAGGCATAATTACTGACAGTGGTACATTTAAGGGCAGACTTGTTCAACTCTAGCAATGTAAATGTATGTATTTTTTTCTCGGACGTTTACAAAATTCGAACTTTGACTCCAAAAATTAGAAAAGTTGCTGTTTAGAATGACAAGTATTCAAGGCAACTGTATTTGCATCACAAATGTAGAGTAAATTAGTCTAATAACGAGTATGCAGGAATACTGGAATTTAACTAAAAATAATTTATTAACTATTACCATTATTGATTTACCATTAATTATTGATTACAATATCTTGAATGCAAATTAAATTAAAACTCAGGGACACATGGGAAGTCACAGAGGTAAAATTACCATTCCATGACAGTACAATTAAAACTACGGATAAATATCTTTATTATCCTTACATAATTCTGCCTCTGAAATTACGAAAGAGAAGCAAATGAACAACTATTTTGTATTCTGATTTCTTTGTCCCCCGTACATTTGTCCACAAATGTGTGAAACATTGATGCAAAATCCTATAGAAGAGTAAACTGTCTTCTGTCTAGTTTGCCATACATATACTATTTCACTACTCTCAAAGTGTATTCGAGTATTACATATTTTTAGAAATTGAAATAATTTTAATTAATGAAATTGCGGTGTTGTATAACTTTATTTCTGATTTAGTGAAACTATAATTCGAATCAAATATATTTTGAAAATATATTTAAAGTTTGAGAATTACAAATAAAGAACAATTACTTCTGTGTATTACTGTGTATTATAAATGTAGGAAGATTTTCAAAAAATTTCGTGTTAATAGATTTTATAGATACGTTTGTATTTCACACAGTCAGGATGACTAAGTAGTTCATGATCAAAGCAACCTATTATTACATTTACATAAGAGAAAAGTCAAGTAAATTTACGCTGAATAGACAAGATTGTTTCCCGTTGTGTAACGAGTTGTATCTACCTACCCTTTTTATTGCCATGCTTGGTTCCACTGATTTGCGAATCGGGCGAAAATTGCATCAACGTTTTGGGAGAGATTCAGTAGGCAACAAGCGAAATACGGAGTGGAACCGCCCCCACCGCGGCGTAGTTCATCATTCTCCGTGCCAATTACTATGACAAGAAGCTCCTCAGACTAATTGCATCCGCCAATTAGCGCGCGCCCACAAGGAGCGGCGCCGCACGCCGCCGCCCTCTCGCGCTACGAAGCGCGAGCAGGGCAAGCGGGGGTGCACATGTGGAGAGAGCGATGGGGAGATGGAATAGTAGAAGGATTAGGAGAAAAGTAAAGGGAGAGGAAGTGATTGGAAGGAGTGGGAGTGAGGAGGAATGGCGATGGTGACGAGGGTGGTCACTCATTAGAGAGGGTGAGAAGTGATGAGAAAAGAGGGTTATGGGTGAGGGGAGATATTGTGAGGAGAAGAAGACAATAAGGAGGAGGCCATGGAGAAGAGACGAATTTGGGGACGATGGGATGTGAGCGTGATAGAAAGGAAAGGGGGTAACGAAGGGAAAGTGAATGGAGAAGGTTTGGCTAGGAGAAAGGTACGATAGGGAGTAAGGAACGGTGAGGAAAGGTGATATAAAATAAGGGGAGAGAGAAATGCAGGGAGAAGGAGTGGGAAGGGGCATTTTGGAGGAGGAGGCAGTGGAGAGGGGGAGAACAAGAGACACAGACGGTGAGGGACGACGAGCAGAAGGGGGACGCGATGGGCAAGTCTAAGGGGAGGCGAGAAGAGGCAGAAGACACCGGAGGATGGAGGGTGAACGCGAAAGGGAAAGAAAGAGGAACTGTGAGTCTGAATGTAAGATGAAGAGATAATGAAGGTGAGTCCATGAAGAAGGAAGAGACTCTGGGGAAAACGCTGATGAATCCGAAGAAAACACAGTCGCTGAGACGAGAACGAAAGCAAAATCACAGGAGATTGTAAAAGAAATTGTGAAGAGAAATGTTTAATATTGGACGGCGAAGAGGAGAAACCGAGCGTTTATTAATTTGATTTAGTTTATTTCATGAGAATTCTGTGGAAAATAAGAAAGGTTGTAGGTAAGGACGAAACGTTTTAAACACAGTCAGAAATAGAGGTGCAGATTTGTAAGAAATCTGGTTAAT